AAAAAAATTAATGAAAAACACTTACAAATTCCATGTCTGGAAAGAGCCAAAGAACCACCCTACAGAATGCAAAAATAAACATTAGTAAACATTTTGTTAACTAACATTATGTTAAAAGAAGCATTTTAAAAGAACCTACTAAAATTTCACACATCCAGAATCATGAACAAACCATATAAAAAAGGAAGAAACATGATGTTAGTAAATGTTTTGTTAAAAAATTTTCAAAGAAAAAATACTCACCACAATTCTGTTCGTGTATAAATTATTCCTTTTTCAGTTATCTAAAAAAATGAAAAATCAAACTGTTAGAAATGTTTGATTAAAAGAAATGTATTAAATCCTTCCTTACCAAATTTCCACGCGTCTGAAAACAAACCAAGAAAACCACTGATACCTAAAAAAAGAAAGCTTTATTTTTTGGGTTTTTTTTTGGTTTTTTGCATAGTTATTAAATACCTGTAATTGCTGTTATTAGAAATGTTCAATCCCCCTGGTAAAATCCTACTTTGAGAGCTGTGCAGGCATTAGAAATTAAAAATTAAATGTAAAAGAAAAGGTGTATTTTTTTTTAAAAGAAAGGGATTTTTTTTCGGCATATGGGAAAATTCAGAAACTGAAAAATATTTTTTTTTTTTTAAAAAAAAAAAAGAAAATGTGTCGTATGGGAAAATCCAAAAAACTTTTTTTTAAAAAAAACAATGACGATTGCTCAATAAATTTTTTATATTTTATATTACAATTAGTACTAATTGGATTAGTTGCTATAATTTGTTTTTACGCCAATCATTTATGCAGCCTAATTCAAAATTGTATTGGGATTAGAGCTGCTAATCAATGTCAAATGATGCGCCACTCCGAATCCCTATATAAAAATCTGTAGCACAGGGCGCAGACACATGATGATGGACAATCCAATTTAAATCCACCTTTTTATGCAGGGTAGTCTTAACGTCACGGTCGCACAATGCTTTTTTTTATAGATAGAGATTTAAATATGGCAAGAAATTTTATAATAAAGTTATTTCTTTTGAACATATTTTAAAGATAAATCTTGACTATAATACTATACTATAAATCTTGACTATAATAAATACTATAAAATAAAATTAGTAATATACTTTCTAAACGTAAGAAAAAATTTATTCTGAATTTTGACATCATGCTGATCATTTGCCGATCATTTTCAAAAGGTAATTTTTGACGAAAAAAAATTTTATTTTTTAAAATAAAACTTAATATAAGCTTTGTATAGCCTTCAAAATTAGGACCAATAGTTAATTTTGACTGCTCTACAAATTTACTTAATACCTTAAGAAAGGTTATAAATACCATTTTTGACATTTTTGACAATTTATGACTTGGGGTAAGGAACAAATTCACCCATATAAGAAAATTTAGTTAATCTTCAATTTTTATTTTATATTTTATCGATGAAAAAGTTAAATATGACCATATAATTTTGGCAGAAAATTTTATTTAATCGTATAAAACATGATCTATGCTGATCATTTTTGTTATGAAAGCAAAACCTGACGCTTCACGTCACAGTCGTCACATGAATACCCGCAGTAATCAATTCAATAGGATCGGGGCCCCACATCGGTAAATATTTTAGTTATTCATTGATATCAAATTATCCATTGAATAATAAGTATATGTCCATTGCCCATTATTAGATTTTTATTGATTGTGTAAACGAATCAGATTTTTATATCCTGTATGTATTAAAATAAGTTTTTTTATCTTTATATTTTTTTCGTTAATCAGTAAAGGTTTTTCTAAATTGTGTTGTTAATAAAAAACGAGGCTTACTTTATGAAGATTTCACTTAATGCATAATTTAACTACATATTTTACTTTTATACAAGCAGATTTTCATGATTTACCCAGCGTACCCTACAAAAATGTCACGAAATAATCACGTTAATGTTTTCGTCACATGCGTCACACACGCCATTTTCTGGGGGACGAATTTTTCGAGGTGTGAAATTCTATTTGTCACACATTATTTGTCACATAGTTAATTTCTTAATTTCTTAATGCCGACCGTGACATTTTTGTAGGGTATGCTGGGGTCATATCCTGCGCCTCACATCAGCGGTGTAACTATCACACAAATAATAACTGAAGCAGATCGACTGTTATAACAAAAATCTTCTACATTATCGCATATCATATGATAATTTGGTAATTTGCCTAATTTTAGCCGTTAATTAACCATGGTGATTTTAATATTTACATATGGCCTGAGACATCCGGAAAATTTTGTGCAACTCATGCAAATTGACGAAAATGGGTCATCATTCACATAATAAGTTAACAACTAAAGGAATATTATTCTTATTTTGTCGTTATATTGATTTACTTTTAACGTTAGATATACTTCCTCCTTTATTTGTTTGTTGATTGATAAATGAAAACCAATTTATTGATTTAATAGGCTCATTATTGTAATGGCAAATTTACTTTTACACATTAAATATGGAAGTCCATTTAAAAATAAGAAAATTCTTTCGAAATTAATGAATTTTTTACTATAAATGTGCTGCATTTTGATTCACACAGTATCATTGTTTTTCTAAAACTAAAAAAAAAAATGACAGTTAAATCTAATAAAGGAGTAATTCTTAAGGCATATCCAAAAGGAATTCCTAAACTTGACGAAAATTTTGAATTGACTCATCGTACAATTGATATTGAATGTTTAAATTTGAAAGAAAATGAATTTATTTTAAGAAATTTATATTTGTCCATAGATCCTTATGTTCGTGTTACTTTACAAGATCCAACATCAATCATTATGAAATATAGTAAAGGGGTACTAACTGGACAGGTTGTAAATGGTTTAGGAGTTTCTGAAGTTGTAAAAACAAATAATCCTAATTATAAAGTTGGAGATCTCGTTTATGGACCTATTGGTAAATAATATGTAAAACATGTAAAAATATCTTTGTGAAAATTGAAATTAAATTATTATTTTCTTTATTCTATCTTAGGTTGGGAAGAATATTCTTATATCAAATCCGATGATGCTTCTGTTTCTTCTTTTATGCTCGTAAATAAAGAATTGTTGAAAGATACACCATTAAGTTATCACGCTAGTTTTCTTAAATTTGGTGGATTGACATCTTATGCATCTCTTATAGATATTGGAAAACCAAAAGAGGGAGAAACAATTTATATTTCGGTATGTATAACAAATTCTCTTAATTGTATTTACTTGCATTTTCTTTTAAAAAGGTGCTTAAAATAAAATTACTAATTATTTTAGACTGCTGCTGGTCTTACTGGACAACTCGTTGGTCAAATAGCCAAAATTAAAGGATTGAGAGTTGTTGGGTCTACCGGATCTGATGAGAAAGTTGATTTTCTTTTGAATGAATTAAAATTTGATGCTGCTTTTAATTATAAAAAGGTTGATCTTGATAAGGTACTTAGCAAGTTAACTTTTAAATGGAATTTTTTTATATTTTTATATTTAACTTTGTACATCATGTTTTTAGGCATTATCCGAATATTGTCCAAATGGTATTGATATTTATTATGATAACGTTGGGTATGTATCCATGTAAAATATGACCTCATTATGAAAATTTTTTAATACTCTTTTTTTAAAAAAAATAGTGGAAAAACTCTTGAAGTTGCCTTGGAACATTGTAATCGATTTGCGCGTGTTGTGGCTTGTGGTATGATATCACAGTACCATGTGACAAATCCTGAAGAAAGATATGGAGTGAAAAACTTAACTAATATTGTCCTTAAAAGCATGATATTCCAAGGATTTGTTGTAACGGATTATTTTGGTAAAGATATTGAAAAAGAATTTGATAAAGATATTATTGAATGGATTAAAAGTGGTAAAATTATTTATAAAGAGACTGTTATTGATGGAGTTGAAAATATAGCAAAAACTTTTGTTGATATGTTAAATGGTAAAAATATTGGCAAGTATATTGTAAAAATAGCAGATTATTAGTATATGAATTTTTTTTAAAATTTATTCTTTTGAGTCGTACAAGACTGCCTAGTATATACTATATTTTAACTAAATATTATGTTATATATAATAAAGGAAAAGATTATATTTTGATTATCTATGAACATAAAATTTCAATTTTTTTGATTTTTTAAAAAGTGGCATGAATAAGCCTAAAGAAAAATGTTGTATAGAATGGTTTTAATGGTTTTCATGAATAGTACTATAGTGATCAGCGTGTGTCTCTTTTTATTTATATTTCCAATGTTTGATAGTCTCCAATTAATCATAAATCAAACAAGGCTGAGAATTTTTGCAAGTATAAATTATGTCAAATGAAATTCAAAGGTTACACTACTCAATTTCTTACCAACTTCCGTTCACTTTGTGATGGATGAGACAAGAAATTAAAAATATCTCTTGTAGAAATAATAATAATAGTAAACGGGCAAAGAGAAGTGGCTAGTATACGTCTAAAAAAATGCAACAACCAGATACTCAGATACGCACCTAAGAAATTCAAAGGCTTGCCAGGTGAAGATCCGCTATTTTGGCTTCAAGAGTTTAAACAATGGCGTGAAGCAGCTGGACTTTATCCAAAACTCGTATTAAAGTTCATATGTTCTTTGTCAAATTTTAAAATGTTTAAATGAATTTATTAAGGAAGAATAATAAATTATAAAAAAATTTTTTTTTTTTGTTAGATATTACAAAAAATAAAAAATTCGGTTAAAATTAATGAATATTCTCCTAATATTAAACTTTAAATCTTATATTATAAACCTACAACAAGAATATATGAACAAATAAAAATCCTTTTTAAATGATTTTTTTCTAAAAAATTAAAAATTTAAGTCAGAACACTAAATCATTATAATAAAATGTCAAAATATAGTCAAATTTACAATGAAATTGTGTGGAATCGTTGAGATCGAAAATAGAAATTAACCTATTTCACTTTTAAATTTCCATATAAGGTACTCGCTGAAACATGAACTTCTAAATACGTTTGGTTAAAATACTACTGCGCTTTTTTATGTCGCACTATTTTTTTTATTGATATCACTAGGCGTGAAATTTCGGAAACCGCTGGAACAAAGATCTTATATTACAAAAGTTCAACAAACGTAAGTAACACGAATTCACATGTTACACAATCGCTTAGAATTGTTAGGATCGTTCAAATATTTGAGCGTAGTTAAAAGGACAGACTGTACGTACATACACTAAATATATGTAAAAAATAATAAATTTACTACTTAGTTTTGATTCAAGTAAACTAATTCCTGAAAGTATAGTCCTAGAAACTACGCAAAGCATACTTATTATAAAAAACTTTGTTTATTATTATAAATACGTTAGTTTTGCAATAATAAAATTTGTCAAACTTATTAAAATATATTCTATTGTATTTTTTTATTCAAATCATTTGAAAAAGTCTTTTCGTAAAAGTAGATCATTTTTATTTTTTAATTTCTGTGATCACTAAATATTCAAGAAAAAAATTTGAAATAATTAATTTTGTGAAAGAAATTTGTCTAATTTAGTTAATGAAAAATTTTAATTCTATTTTATATGAACGATTATCAGCTATAGTATACGTAAAAATTATTATTTTAATTTAAATATGGCAAGAAATTTTATAATCAAAGTTATTCCTTTTGAACATATTTTAAACATAAATCTTGACCATAATACAATACTATAAGATAAAATTAATATACTTTCTAAACATAATAGTGTTATTATTAATCTTCAATTTCGATTAAAAAGATAATGGAGTAGTTAGCCGAAAAATAATTAGCCGCAACGTGATCCGGACCCGGCTCAGGCGTAGATCGTCGTGAAATTCCAGGGATTTTCTGCGATTAAACCGGGTCCGGATGATCGGCAATCAGGAATTCGACTCCGTTTTTCGGCTAACTACACCATTATATGAAAAAAGTTAAATATGACCATATAATTCTGGCAGAAAATTTTATTTGATCGTATAAAACACATGAAGACATGATCATTTTTGCTATGAAAGCGAAACCTGACGATTCAGTCGTTTCACGTCACATGAATAACCCGCAGTAATCATTTTGTTCAATAGGATCGGGGCCCCAATGCATCGGTGAATATTTTAGTTATTCATTGATATTCAATTATCCATTGAATAATAAGTATGTCTATTGCCCATTATTAGACTTTTATTGACTGTGTTAAATTTCAATCAACGAATCAGATTTTTATTCCCTGTATGTACTAAAATAAATTTTTTTATCTTTATATTTTTTTCGTTAATCAGTTAAGGTTTTTAGGGTACTATCTAAATTGTGTTGTTAATAAAAAACGAGGCTTACTTTATAAAGATTTCACTTAATGGATAAATTAACTACATATTTTACATTTATACAAGCAGATTGTCATATCCTGCGCCTCACATCAGCGGTGTAACTATCACACAAATAATAAAGCAAAAGATCGACTTTTATAAAGCTTCTACATTATCGCAAATCATATAATATTTGGTAATCTACCTAATTTTAGCTGTTAATTAACCATGGTGATTTTTAATATTTACATATGGCCACGAGACATCCGGAGAATTTTGTGCAACTTATGCAACTCGATGAAAATGAGTCATCATTCACATAATAAATTAACAATTAAAGGAATATTATTTCTTATTTTGTCGTTATATTGATTTACTTTTAACGTTAAGTTATACTTCCTCCTTTATTTGTTTGTTGATTGATAAATGAAAATCAATTAATTGATTTAATAGGCTCATTATTGTAATGGCAAATTTACTTATAATTATTGTAATGGCAAATTCCTTTTACTAATTATTGTAATAGCAAATTTACTTTTAATTATTATAATGGCAAATTTACTTTTAATTATTGTAATGGCAAATTTACTTTTACACTTTAGATATGGAAGTCCATTTAAAAATAAGAAAATTCTTTCGAAATTAAATGAATTTTTTACTATAAAATGTGCAAATTTTGATTCACACAGAATTATTGTTTTTCTAAAACTAAAAAAAAAAAAAATGACAGTCAAATCTAATAAAGGAGTAATTCTTAAGGCATATCCAAAAGGAATTCCTGAAGTTGACGAAAATTTTGAATTGACTCATCGTACAATTGATATTGAATGTCTAAATTTGAAAGAAAATGAATTTGTTTTAAGAAATTTATATTTGTCTATAGATCCTTATGTTCGTGTTACTTTACATGACCCAGCATTAAACTTTATGAAACATGGTAAAATGATATCAACCGGTCAGGTTATATCTGGTTTAGGAGTATCTGAGGTTGTAAAAACAAATAATCCTAATTATAAAGTTGGAGATCTCGTTTATGGACCTATTGGTAAATAAATAATATGTAAAAACATATGTAAAAATATTTTTATTGCAAAAATTGAAATTAAATTATTATTTTTTTTTTTGTTCTATCTTAGGTTGGGAAGAATATTCTCATATCAAATCCGATGATGCTTCTGTCTTTTCTTTTATGTTCGTAAATAAAGAATTGTTGAAAGATACACCATTAAGTTATCATGCTAGCTTTCTTAGATTTGGTGGATTGACATCTTATACATCTCTTATAGATATTGGAAAACCAAAAGAAGGAGAAACAATTTATGTTTCGGTATGTATAATAAATTTTCTTAATTATATTTACTTACATTCTTTTTAAAAAAGGTGCTTAAATAAAATTTACCAATTATTTTAGACTGCTGCTGGCCTTACTGGGCAACTCGTAGGTCAAATAGCTAAAATTAAAGGATTGAGAGTTGTTGGGTCCACCGGATCTGATGAGAAAGTTGACTTTCTTTTGAATGAATTAAAATTTGATGCTGCTTTTAATTATAAAAAGTTGATCTTGACAAGGTAAGCAAGTTAACTTTTAAATAGATTTTTTTTTTTTATTTATATATTTAACTTTGTTCGTTATGTTTTTAGGCATTATCCGAATATTGTCCAAATGGTATTGATATTTATTATGATAACGTTGGGTATGTATCTGTATGAATATGATCTCATTATGAAAATTTTTTAATACTTTTTTTTTTAAAAAAAAAAAAAAATAGTGGAAAAACTCTTGAAGTGGCTTTGGAACATTGTAATCGATTTGCACGTGTTGTGGCTTGTGGTATGATATCACAATACAATATAAAAACTCCTGAAGAAGGATATGGGATAAAAACCCTAGCCAATATTGTTGTTAAAAGCATTGTTTTCCAAGGATTTATTGCATTGGATTATATTGGTAAAGATATTGAGAAAGAATTTGAAAAAGATATTATTGAATGGGTTAAAAGTGGTAAAATTATTTATAAAGAGACTGTGATTGACGGAGTTGAAAATATAGCAAAAGCTTTTGTTGATATGTTGAATGGTAAAAATATTGGTAAATATGTTATAAAAATAGCTGATTATTAGTATATGAATTTTTTTTTTAAAATTCGTTCTTTTGAGTCATCTATGACTGTCTCATTTGATTACCTGTAGTACATTATTACATATATATTTAACTTAAATATTTCTTATATATATATAAATAAAGTAAAATTTTTTTGATATTTGATTATCTAAGTACACAGAATTCAATTTTTTTTTTAAAAAAAAAAATAAAGTTGCATGAATATTGTATAAATTAATATATTACCTGTCTAAAGAAAAATGTGAATAATGTTGCATTGAATAGGTTTCATGAATAGTATAGAATCGAATGTGATCAGCGTGTGTCTCTTTTCATTCTTACTTATTTTGTGATGTTTCGTCGCCAATTAGCCGCACGATCGTCTCCAATTAATTATAAATCAAATAAAGCTGAAAATTTTGCAAGTATAACAAGTATAAATTAAATCAATTGAAATTCAAAGGTTACACTACTCTAAAATTATCTGGCTAGTATATGTCTAAAAAAAAAATATTTGTCAAAATTTAAATATTCTAAATAAATTTACTAAGGAAGAATAATAAATTATATATATAATAAGAATATATGAACCAATAAAAACCCCTTTTAAATGTTTGTTTTCTAAAAAATTAAAAAATTTTTAATTTAGAACGAAAAGTCGTTAAAGAAATGTATCATTAGTGTTCCAATCCGTCAACCGTTCATCCCGTTTGAAATTCGGATATCCGTCATTCGTCGGATAAATCAGATAGATCGGATGAGTATTTTTTAACGGATCGGATGACGGAATGAGATCGGATGATGTAGGATCATCCGTCAGATCCGGAACCCCTTTTACCCTTTATAAACAAAAAAAATTTTTTCTTAATTAAAAATAAAATAGTTTTTGTCAATTGTACAGTATATATTGTATAATATTTCCCTTTTTAAATTTAAAGTACAACCATTAGTGATTACTACTTGAGGTAAATGGAAGGGCCGGTTTCTTTTCAGGAACGTCACTTTAACGTGAGAATTATTTTTTAAGGTAAATGGAAGAATGAGAGTTCCGGACTCTTTAAAAGGACATTATTAATGTTCATTTTTTTTCCTTTTAGGATAACCACCTTAAAACTTCTTGAGGTAATGGAAATTGAAGGTACGAGTCTGGGGTTCTTATCAAGAACGCTATTGACTTTTTTTTTCTTTTTTTTAAGAGAATACACTTTGAGGACTATTGGGGCTTTTTGAGAGTTGAGGTAAATAAAAAGGGAAAGTCTGTATCTCTTTATATTTACAAAACGTCACAATCTTTTTTTTATAGAGATAACCGCTATTGGAATGGCTTCTTAAATATTGAGGTAATTGGGAAGGAGGGAATCATCCCAAGAACGTTGCTAACGTTCATTTTATTTTCTTTTAGTGACAATCGCCTTGAAGACGAGTATTGGAATAGCTTCTTGAGAGAGTTGGGTCATTTTACAAAAACATTTACTATTCTTATAAAGGGAAATAGTCAAATAGACTCGGATAAAACACAAAGATTTGACAAAAAAGTTATAGCAAATAATAAGCAGTTAATTTACAAACGAATATTTTCTTTATCTTACGACGAAAAAAAAAAAATAATTAAAATCATAAAAAATTTCTTAATTTTTTTAGTAAATTCTTAACTTTATTGGATTAAAATTTAATAAATCAAACGGAAATTTCTTCGCATGACTCGAAAGAGAACGATGAAGCAAAATTTCTTTACATATTATGATATTCGAATGAATGGACTTCTAATTTTATTCGGATCTTATTATTTGATTTTTTTTTTACAAAGTTGAATATTTTTTGTTTGTAAAATACATTGAAACTTTTTTTTTTAAAAAAAAGAATCTACCATTGTACAAATTCCTCATTTGTTCCAATTTTCTTGTATAAATATTAATTACGAAGTTATAAAGTTAAAAGTATTATTCTTCTGATTTTTTATAATTAAGAAAAAAAATATTTATTTTTAGAAAAGTTTTGATCAATTAATCACGAATTCAAATGAACGAACTTCATAACGTAATATAGTGACGTTAATAGATTAACATCTAATTCCCTACCCGCCGTAGATGCAAACAATCAGGTCAAAAGTCACACGATCAAAATTCTTGTGATTTATAATGTCAAGAAAAAAGAATGGAAAAAAAACATCGTATAATTACACCGTATAATTTAAAAAAATTCACCAAATTCCTTTATAATAGAAATAAATTTTATCGTTATTTATTCATTTTTATTATTTATATCACTTAACAATAAACTGAAAATCTTAAATTCGTTTGCGTCAAAATTATTATTTAGGTGAATTAATTAATAAATTATCTCAAAAAAATTATCAAGTTATCATAATAATTTATGACATTTTTTTTATTTAGCCAATTATAGAATCTTTCAACCCACAATAAATTAATAATATTAATATTACGTCATATAATTTTTGTTTTTCTATGCTTTATATTTATTTATTGTATCCGTATCCAATAAATTTACTTTTATGATATAATTGATATTGTGAAAATATGTTAAAAAAATTATAAAGACTTAACATATTTTTGTATAAAAAGTAATTTAATTATGTGGAATATTCCAAGAGTTTAATTGAGTAAAAATAGTCATCCTAATTTTAATTTATAAACAATTTCTAAAATTTTTGTATCGTAAATCTGGAAAAACTTGGCGTAAAAATTTTCATGACCGTTAAAAAAGTTCTTTTAATTATTTGCCAGTTTAAATCGAATCAACCTTCATTACTAAATTAAATAAAAATAATAATATTAGAATATTGTAAACTTGTGAACCATTAGGAAATTCTTCAAGAATTTTATGAAAATGGTTAGTATAATTTTCTAATGGACTAAATTCTTAGAAAGCCCTAATAAATGATTTTTTTTGCATTAAACAGTGAATAAAAAACGATATTTAAAATAAGGATCATTTTATAGAGTCGTTCACCAAATAGATATAGTCATCAATAATGTCATCAAAATTTCCAGATATACCTAAAAAGGGATATTATGTATTGTCTTATAATCTTAAATATTTAGTAACTTTAGTCAACTATAATAAATTTTTTTTTTAAAAAATTTTATTGAGTAAAATAATTATCTAAAACATGGTTAACTTTTAATTTTTATAAGCTCATTATGTTACAAAAATGCAATAAATTTTGCCTGAAAAATATGTTACTATAATATAATATCGATTATAATCAAAATTGAATTTTTGATTTTGCCTTTTCATTCGAAACTTCAAATTTGGCTCATTAAACATCAATTATCAATAAAAAAAAAATTATCCAAGTAATAAAAGTAATAACTAAAATAAATATTATTAAAAAAAAAACTTAATCCATTATTAAATATTTAATATTTTTTTATTACCATTGAAATTTATTGATAACATAGACAAATCATCATCACAAATAAGGCTTAACCACAATGCTCGCACATAAGGCACAGACAAGAATCACTCAAAAGACGCGACTTGGAAAATAAAAACTTCCACCAACACTTTACCAACTTTAGATATACTTAACCGCAATTTTCAATTAGAGACATATTGCTTCATCTTGCTACGGTTCTCCAAATGACATTACAACAACATGCTGACAAGCTCTTCACTTTGTATTCCCAATAGCGTTAAATATGCAAACACATTCAAATGGGCCTTAACCATCAACCGATCACGATAGAAGCCATCTTGTTAATGCGATCTTACGTCACTCAAGACTTATTTAATATCTTTCAAGCTCACTTTAACACATACAAAAATATTTCAAACATTTTGTTGCCTTTTCTACAATTTACCTTAGTCGAGATCAAGACAAAAGTTTGGAAAACTCGTTCCATGAAATGGAAGGATTGGAAACGCACCCATGGGCCATGGTATTACCAAACATCAATTCAAAGATTATCATCAGAATCGGCCTACAGAGCCGCTTGCGCTGTTCGTTAACGATCAAGCTCTAAAACTGATTTGTATATTGCAACCCGTACTTTGTTTATAGGAATTATAAGAATAATACTGATCTTTTATTTATCCTTTTACGTCATCCAACTTTTTACATAGCGGACCATTTTATCAACACCCAAACCTTAGTTTTACAGATAATACACGTAGTTCTTCTATAGATTATAGACACGTACCCTTTTATGTATAGTCAGTCACCTACCACTTGTATAATTTTTGCTTCTAAAAGTTTAGCTATTATTACCCACCGTTCTAGAATTAATGCTGTTTCCTTTTCTTTTAGGAGTTAGTCTTTTTTCTTTTCTTCTTTTACTACCCCGTATCGGTCGGGATCCGGGATAGGTGGGATTTAACAAGTGAAGGTCCGCTCCTTCGGCCTTTGACCGTTGGTTTGGACGTGGTGTCCGTTTATGTATATTCGTATGTATATTCGTTAGAATAGTGTAGCGACTTCTCATTGTAATTCTACTGCTTCACATAAAATAAATAAATAACCACACCATTTATTTATTCATGTGATTAGCATTATAGTTTATGTTTCCTAATACTGAAAAATAATGGTAAATAAAATACTCATTATTAATTTATACTTTGTCAATTTCGTTACTCAAATATTGCTACATATTTATCAAAATAAATAATATTAAAAAAGATAATTAATTTTTTAATGTGTCACTTATTATAATGTTAATAATGACTTTATTCGTAATAATTTTATTATTGTTCAGATTTATTTATGCAATAAATAAAATTTATATACTCTGATATCATTCAATATAATATTATCAATTATTTTATTAATACAAAATGACAGTTTATCAACTTTTTCTAACTTCATGGATCTGTGACCGGCATTATACATAAAATAATATAGTTTGTACTTTGTACGAATTATATTTTTCAACTTGATTACATAAACTATAAATTCTGCGTCTCACAACGATCGACTATTTAATTGTGCACTGTTACACTGTAAGACCTACGCTCGTAGTAAACTACAGTACGTTGCCACCGCAGTCTTAACAAAAATGATGATTATTAATTACACAAATATGATAATACAAAATAATGTAATGTAATGCTTGGATTAGTAATTTTTCTTAATAAGTTAATTCCTAAATGATAAAATTCGTGAAAATATTTCTTGAAGTCTCCCATTTTTATACAAACGGATTTTGATTTTAGGAAACCATTTTCTTGACATGTTTCCCTTTTTCAATTCCCACTTTTGATAAATATTAACTTTGAAAATTCCTAAAAATTGATCTCCAAATCCATTTCTTATTATAGAAATATCCCGAACATAATTCCCATTCCCAAACCTAAAAATAAAGGTGAACACAAGAATAGTTTTACATCTTTACGGATGTTACGTAACATTCCACAATTATAATACTTTAAAATTTTATACACTTAAACTAAATGTAATACTGCGCCCCACAACTAATAAATTCACTAGGTTAATTCCTGGCATTGCAGTACATCGTTACACATTCGGAGAAATCGTTATTTAAATCTATTTCTGATACAAATTACAAAAGTATATGTTTAAAAGTTCAAATTCAATAATGGTACTTATAAGAGAATTAATATAAGTTATATGAATTTCTCTATGAATCACTTTATGAGATATTTATTTTGAATTATTTTATAACAGTAACATTTACATTATTAGAAGAAATTTTAGCAATTTTACGGTTAATGATGATTATTCTTATTCATATGAACAACGTTTAATTAATCAAGAATTTGGCTTATGTCCTGGATGTAATCAACCAAATACACATCATGATTGGTGTAATAAATGTTCCAAAAAATGTCAACAAAATTTTGATAATTGAACTAGTGGAAATGATAATATACACAGTGAAATTCGATAAACCGGATCTATCGGTTCCACTAAAATTATCCGGTTTATCGGGATATCCGGTATAGCGAAAAAATTTCGATATATTGGAAATCTATTATACTGAATTTTTTTAAAAAATTCATGCTAATAAAATTAATATGCACTATATTTTAATTTTTCATCTTAGTTTTAAGTTGAAAATGAATATAAAATATTTTTAATTGAATATATAAGTAATACATAACTTCAGCCGGAATTAAGATTTTTATAATTCTGGCCAAAATTAAGATTTACCGCATCACGTTACTTAAATTTTATTGGTTAATGATCACGTGTTCCGGTTTATCGAATCATTTTTACTATAGCTGGTTAGAAAATTGATCCGTTATATCGAATATCGAGCTTTTACTAGTAAACTCCGGTATATCGAAACTATTTTAATATACGTGATTTGGTTCCAGCAAAAAAGTCCGGTTTAGGGCCAAATCCGGTTTATCGAAGATCCGGTTTATCGAATTTCACTGTGTAGATAAGTTTTATTAAGAATTCACAATTAAATGCAAGAACAAGTTTTGAAGCTCTTGAATGGATTTTTTATTCTCGATTAAGAAACATCAAATATTTGGCTCAAGGAGGGTTTAGTACAATTTATGAAGCAATTTGGTTAGATGAATGGATAGAAAAGTGGGATTATGAAAAACATGGTACCGTCCAGTTATGCCGCATGATTATGACGATGAAATTGATACCAATATTATAAATCCTCTTAAGAAATGACGAAGAATGTGGCAGTGCTCTCTTAGTACTAAAAAGTTATCAAATATTAGTGAGGAGTTTTTAAACGAGGTATGTAGTTATATTTAATATTATTATTATGTAATTTTTTATGCTAATTAATGCTTATGTTTTATGATACAGTGGAGGTTACATTTACAATGTCAGTGTGAAGCATTATCAAATGGTTCTGGTCTTGTCCCATTGTTTGGAATAACACAAGATCCAAACACTAAAAATTATATGGTTGTAATGGGAAAAATGCCACTTGATAATTTAAGAAATAACTTAATGGTTAAAAAATATAATCCAAATGATAAATTTAATAATCTACTTCTTATTTCAGCACAGCTTGAAGCTATTCATAAATTAGATTTAGTTCATGGAGATCGGTAAACCATATACAAAAGCTGCAGATATTTATTGTTTTGGAATAATCAGTGGGAGATGACGTCAGGAGTTCCGGCATTTCATAATATTTCTCATGATTTTTTCTTTTCTTTAGATATTTGCAAGGGTAAAAGACCAGAAATTGTAGAAGGAACAATTCCAGAATATGTTGAATTAATGAAAAGATGTTGGGATAATAATCCTGAAAGGAGGCCAACTGCCAAGGAATTAAAACCATTTTTTTTTAAATGAGATGAAAAATATCCCATAGAAAAAGATGAAGAAAAGAGAGTACTTTTTCCTGGTAATTCTATTATTTTTTTACAAATCATATTGTTTATTAAATATTTACTATTTAACTATTATTAAATTTTTTTAGAAAATAAATTAGAAATTAAAATGTCATCCAGAATCTTATTATTTTAGTAGAAAAATCAATTATTCAACTAAATTAAATGAAATGTTGGAACAAGAAGAATTAAGTGACAAGTTTGTAATTATGGAAGATAATAATAATGATATGAGTGAAAGTTTAGGTACTTATAATAGAAATAATTTTGTTTTTAAGTCATATTCATACTTCAATAATATTTATTTATAACCTTTATAATTAGCAAATTGTGTAATTAAAGATTAATAAATTTCTACAATCTCACACTTCATTAGTAAATTAAAAATATTATTTTGAGATACAGTACATTATAGCATAAAAAAAAATAATGTCAATTTACTTGTAATGTTATGTCATCAAAGTAGCCCAAAATTACAATAATTATATAATTTAAGTCAAAATTTCTTAAATTACAGATTTCTGCTGAAACAATATTGGTTAGCTGGTCACAATGTTTATTTTTAACAACTTTAATTATGTGTCACAATCATAGGATCATTATTTATTGGTATATTATTACTTTTTTGTATAATGAAACAAAATTAAACAAGAATGATATCAATATTATTATCATTTGATTGTGCAATCAAATAAAAGGTGTAGTATATAGTAAACAGGTTATAATTTCCAATCAGAATTATATTGGATATTGCAAAATAAAAATAATGCACCTTATTTTTTATTACAACATAAATTTCCTGATTAAACAGAGATTTTGCCTTAGAAATAGAGGTTGGAACCGACCAAAAAAACCTTAATCGATTAATAATCGATTAACCAAGGGCCCTAATCGATTATTAATCGATTAATATTAAAATATTAAAAATTTTTTTTTTTTTTGACCGCAGATTGCACCAAATTGTTTTTGATCATACATTTAGTTATAGGGAAGTCTTATTTATTATTATTATCATTAAAAAATTAATACAAATTCTTCCAAGTTCGGAGAACACGTGACCAAAAATTCATAGCTCTGGGCCGCATTAGATAATTTGACCAGAATTATGGGTTGATAATTTTAATCGATTAACCGATTTTTGAGATACCTTAATCGATTAACCGTCTTAGTCGATTAATTAATCGATTAACCTTAATCGATTCCAAACTCTACTTAGAAAGTGATAAAGCCAAACAGTATCAAGATTATTACATGATATTGTTTTCATTTACCTAATTTACCTATTATAAGAAAGAAATTGTTAGTAGTGCATCAAAATTTTATTTAGTGATAAAAGAAGGTACATAGCCAATTCCTCCAGAATTAGCAGACTTATATCAACTACAAAATTAGGATGCCTGCATTGCGATCTATGGATTGGTTACCAAAGATGTCAATACAGTAATTTTCCTAAGTCAAGACGCAGTCAACCAGGAGTTACCCTAACATTGCAAAATAAAAAATGACACACCTTATTTCTTATTTCAATATAAGTTTTCTGGAATTTGCCTCCTTTAGAAAGTGATAAAACCAAAATTATTAATTGTATCTGTGATATTGTAGTATTAATGATATCACTGCTAATATCCAAAAATTCACAATATGATGATAAGGTATGAGATTAGTTAGTAATTAAATATTATAAGTTGAAAATAAATATTACATTGAAGTACTTCTCATAGGACTTACTATTGATAGTTGCTTATTCATATTGTTATAAAGGAGATTAATAAATTGTTAAGAAAGAATAAAAATTATACTTTAAATTCAAAAATTTATTCTTTAAACAATTTCTTTATTTATTCTAAGTATGATTGAATGTAAAGTAAGATATTGAAATGTTTTATTCTAAGAATGATTGAATGTAAAGTAAGATATTGAAATGTTGAATTTTAAGTATAATATAAATTCATGTAAAATATTGAATATAAAATATTAAAATATTGAATTTAAAAATTGAATTTATAATTATTTATTGTTAAATATTGAATATGAAATATTAAAATATTGAATTTAAAAATTGAATTTATAATTATTTATATATATTTGCGGGATTTTGACTGATACATTAATATTTTATTTAATTACATTATTTAATTTGACTAATAATGTACTACTTATTCACATCAATGTGTCAGCCCAAATAATACTACATATTTTATATGAAATTACTTTAAATTAAACTATCATATTTTTTTTTTCTTTAAAAATGTATTACATATTTTTGTTAATATTATGAGTCAATATTACCAAGCATTTGTTAGTAATTAATGAAGAACATGCAATATATTTCATTGTAGCGTGGCTTGGACTAACATATTGATGTGAATATGAAGTAAATTATTAGTCAAATTAAATAATGTAATTAAATACTATATTACATATTCTTCGTTAATATGAGTCAATATTACCAAGCATTTGTCAGTAATTAATGAAGAAGTAATATATTTCATTGTAGGCAGCATGACTTAGGGTGACACATTGATGTAAATAATCCTGAATCAAAAGTCTTTATAGTCACAGTCATAAAGGTGTCACAATTAATATGAAAAAAAGTACTATTGCATTTCATTACATTATTTAATATATATCTTTTTAATTGTATTTTTAAATTTCTTTTTCATAAATTGAATAATATTACTACCAAAAAATTAATATTAACCAAATGATTACAGTATTTAAAATTTCATTCATGTCACTATCCTTTTTTTCTCAAAGAAATACAAGAATGAGACTTGAGAATAAACAAGGAATATGTTATAACTGTATCAAATTTGTTTGACTACAATGACCTTTCATTAAATGAACAATTAATACTTGCTGCTTGCATATAATAATAATCACCAACTATGGCACAATTATTAACCAATTTATATACTCTTACATATGCATTAATATATTCTTTAAAAAAAATTAATTAAAAAATATGGATGTTTTTTTATATTTGATTTAATGACTTCAAAACCTGCAAAACTACCTAATATTAAGCAATTATTGATTTTTTTGTGATTTTTTCAAATTTTTCAGTTTAAGTTAAATAACTCCACGAAAATAAATTTTGATGCTTTAAAATACTCTGCGGCGCCCCTAATCACATATTCTGAAAGTATACACAGTGTTTATTTTTAGATTATTAAGTAAAATCAGGTTTTTAATTAATCTATAGTTCACTTGTGGACTAGTGTAAGTATATAATATATATAGTATAATAATAAACTATAGATATTTTTTATCTCCTGTATGCAAAGATAAAAGATTATTATATGAAAATTTAAATAGTTATAAAAATTGTTTTTATGAAATGAAAATATTGGAGAAAAAATCTGTGTAAATAATATAGTTAAAGAAATTTTACAGTGTGTAAAGTATCTTTAGATAATAGATTAAAAGATTAATTAGTATTAACTAAATATCACAAGTTGAAAATAATATTAAAAGTTAAAGTAATTTTCATTGAACTAGTACTATTTTGTATAAATAAGTAATAATAGAATTAAATAAATAGCTTACACCCTATATTATTTAATAACTTTTAAATAAAGAAATTAGTTATATATAAATAAGTAATAATAGAATTAAAAAAATAACTTAACTTACGATCTATATTAAATAAAGAAATTAGTTAGTTTAAATTATACGTAAATATTATATAAATAAGTAATAATGCCAGGATAGTTGCTCATATTGATTAGTTTATAAGGAATATGATAAATAATAAATTATTTAAAATGTAGTAATAATAAATTGAAAGTAGTAAGAAAAAATTTTAATGAATTGTTAAGAATAAAGAATAAAAAAAATAAAAGTTTTAGAAATAATTTAATACTATGAATTGTTAATAAATATAATAGAAAGAGAATAGAAGGAATAAAGAAAATTTATACAGTGTGTAAAGTATCTAGATAATAGATTAAAAGGTTAATATTAAAAGTTAAAGTAACTGAATTTTCATTGGACTAGTACTATTTTGGCCAGGATAGTTGCTCATGTTGATTAAATTCAAACTGTTAAGGAATATTGATAACTAAATAATAAATTAAAATATAGTAATAATAAATTGAAAGTATTATGTGAATAAAGAAAAAATTTTAATAAATTGTTAAGAAAGCATAAAGAATAAAAGTAGAAATAAAGTATGTAATTTTCTTTTAAATTATTAATTATAATAATCAAACCAATTACAAATCTTGAGAATGGTTAGGTTGAATATGTGCTATATGAGTATCCACTAGATCTTTGATTGCATCTTCAATATTTTCACAGAAGTAATATCATACCCAGTTTTACATATCTTTAAATTGCATAAGTGAAATTGAATAGTAAAAAACAAAAAATAAGGAATTTAATAAAATGTTAAAGTATTTTGTTAGAAATAGAAAGATTAGAATAAATGATAAAAAAAAATAAAAGATATTTTTAATAAATGTAACAGATAGAATAAAGTATAAACTATACTAAAGAATTAGTAAGTAAAAATAAGTAAAAAATAAAAGAAAATAAGAAGAATAAAAAGAATAAAAATTAAAGAATATAATATAATCTAGATTAATGTTTTCAAAATTTAATAAATTTAGACTATTAATATAGCAATATCTAAATATTTTAAATCTTATTATATATATAGTTAGTTGTTACTTCATTAGCAGATTTCCATAAAATGCGACGAAAACCAATTACTAATATAACAAATCCCTTTAACTTATTAGGTTTAGATTTTGTTATTTTGACACGCTCATCAAATACTCCTGAGCTAGAATAGTTTATAGCTTTTCCTTTTGAAATTGTTTTCATATATGAATTTAATTGATTCAACCCATTATTTAATGTCTCACCTATAGTTATCAAATTTGTTTTTTTATCATTCTTTGACCAATACGTATATGATCTTTTTAATACAGATTCTTCATTTTCATTTTCAAGTATTTTATCCAGATTCTCAAGTTCATTTGCACCAAAATTATTTTTCTGATTACTATTAATAAGTCCAATTAATGAGATATACTTTAATTCTAAAATAATATTATTATTTCCTTCATTACTTAAAATAAAAATATCTGAATAACCAAAACGACCTGAGCCTTTTGGCTTTTTACCATTCATTACTAATAAAAGTTCTGGAATACAATACTTTAATGGAATAAGTTTTTCTACAATTGCTTGAAGTACAGGTTCATTTGCTGATGATAGAGACATTCATGATCTTGAAAGAAGAGAAGTCTTCAGAATTTTAATAAAAGGTATAATATTATCTGCAATAAGACTTTCATATGCTGAGGCAATAAGAAGTGCATCATCAACAACATGTCTATATACTAGGTTATTCTTATTTTGTCTTAGAATTTGGTTTTGTTTCTTCCAGTATTCTAGTGAATAATTATTAAATATTAATAATATATATATAAATACAAAAGAAATATTATAATTTACCATTAGATAAATTTTCTGTATCAGCATTATCATCTCTTACTCTTTTCAGTTTGCCTTTTTGTTGAGTAATTTTTTCAGTATACTTGTTAGTTTTATTTGAATTTGATTGAGAAACTTCAGATAATTTTATAGCAGATGTTTCATTTGAGTAAAATGTAACAAAAGGTGCTAAATTATTGTTTTGCTTTTTCCAGTATTCTAATAAATAATTATTAAACATAATTTAATGATATGTATATAAATACAAAAATAAATATTATAACTTACCATTAGATGAATGTTCTTCTATATCAGTATTATCAGTATTATCATCTTTTACTTGTTTAACTTGGAAAGTAATTTTTTCAGTATTCTTGTTAGTTTTATTTGAATCTAATTGCAAAACTTCAGATGTTTCATTTTCAGATGTTTCATCTGAATAAGGTGCAACAGTAGGTGCTAAAGTAGGTGCTAAATTTTCTTTTTTATGTTCCCTAATAATTTTTTGCCAAAATTTTTGAAAATAATTTGTAAAACGAAATTGTTCTTCATTTGCCTATTATGAGAAAGAATTATTAGTAGTGCATCAAAATTTATTTAGTGATACAAGAAGGTACATAGCCAATTCCTCCTCCAGAATTAGCAGACTTATATCAACTACAAAATTAGGATGCCTGCATTGCGATCTATGGATTGGTTACCAAAGATGTCAATACAGTAATTCTCCTAAGTCAAGACGCAGTCAACCAGGAGTTACCCTAATTTTGCAAAATAAAAATAACGCACCTTATTTCTGATTTCAACATAAGTTTCCTGATTGAACAGAGATTTTATCTCCTTTAAAAAGTGACGAAACCAAATAGCATCAAGATTATTAACTGTGTCTGTAGATGATATTGTTGTAGAAATGATATCACTGCTAATATCCAAAAATCCACGATATGATGATTTAATGCCTCGTTCTTTTAGATAAGAAATTAGAACTAGATAGAGGTTAAAGGTTAGTTAGTAACTAAATATTACAAGTTGAAAATAAATATTAGATTGAAGTACTTTTTATAGGACTTACCATTTTGTCCAGGATAGTCATCTATATTTTCACTCATATTGATTAGATTATTAAATAGTAAATAATAAAGAATTTATGAAAAAATGTTGAACTAAATTCAAAAATTATACTTATTATACTTATTTAAGAACATATAGGATGGTATCTTAATTATTTATATATATTTGCAGGTAATAAGACTTGAAATGACACATTAATGTTAATGATTGCATTGAATTATAACATTTAAACATAATAGTTCAGTTTAAAGTAATTTCATATAAAAATGTAGTATTATTTGGGCTGACACATTGATGTGAATAAAAATACATTATTAGTCAAATTAAATAATGTAATTAAATCTATTGTCTTTAAAATGTATTACATATTCATATTCTTTGATAATATGAGTCAATATTAACATATATTTGTCAATAATTAACAAAGAACAATTTAATATATTCATCATATGCAACATGACTTGGACTGACACATTGATGTGAATAATTCTGAATTAAAAGTCTTTATAGTTACAGTCACAATAGTGTTACATACATTTCATTGCATTATTTAATATATATCTTTTCCATTGTACATCTTTATTATAAATAACTACTATACTACTATGAGACTTGAAAATAAACCAGGAATATGTCTTAATAAAAAATAGAATTTCTTGATAGTTAAAACTTTTGATTCAGGATTGTTCACATCAATGTATCAGTCAAAGTCATACTGCATACAATAAAACATATTACATCATGTTCTTCATTAATTACTGATAAATGAATGGTAATATTGACTCATATTAACAAAGAATTTATTCATTCTTTAATTAAATTGCCGATCAAAAAATTCTCACACTAAGTAGTTTAAGTAGTTCATATGTAATAAATTAATCTGTGCAGACAATCCAAGTATGAAAGTAAAAACATTTTTTTTTAAAAAAAAATAGACAGTATATTAATATTATATTTAATCGCATTATTTAATTTGACTAATAATGCACTTCTTATTCACATCAATGTGTCAGTCTAAATAATACTGTTATGATAGAAAAATTAGGTGATGAAATCATATAATATAATGGGTGATCAAACTAATCAATGGTAATTAATAATTGTTGTGGCTGAAATTGAAATCTAGCTGATCTTTAAATTCAAATTAAAATTTGCCAATCAATTAAATGAAATTGAAATTTTGTCTTTCAGTTAAAGGGTTGTATTTGAAATTAAAATTTATCTGAAATTAAAATCAGACATAGTTGATTGCTTATCTATTGTATATCTGTTGTAACTGAAATAGAAATTTGACTGAATTTAAAATTCAGATATGGTAATTCTGGAAAAGTTGATTGAATTTTAAATTCAGTTAAATTTCAGTCACAACATATATATCCAAACATTTAATTTGAAGTTCAGAAAATTTAATTTCAGTAATTGAAACTGAATTTAAATTTTATTTAGATTTTAATTTTGAGTGAAACAATTAGTATAACTGAATTTCAAATTCAGTTAAAATTTTAATTTCATTATAATATTAAGTAATAGTGATTAGTGACTACTCTAAAAATATACTTTGCAGAACTTTTTATAATAAAACCATATTATAACTAAGTCAAAAATTTATTGTAGACCTTATAACTAAGATTTGGTCATGATATACTGTAGTTTCACATCATTATATAAGATTAAATTGATTATGTATAAAGTTGATGCATATTAAGGAGATCATCATAAAGTTATGTTAAGTTATAGTCAAGTTATATTAAATGTATAGTCAAAATGTATTAAATGTATATTAAAGTTATATTATGTAAATATTAAATAAGTACAATTATATTAAAGTTATGGTAAAATTATATTTTGAAGTTGTAAATAACTAAATAAGTTATTAAGTAATGGTAAAGTTCCTATTCTAAGCTTATTAACCCTAACAATTAAACTCTAATAACCATACTTCTCATATTCAAAAAGGAGAAATCTGGCCAGAACCTGAAAAAATATCATCAAGAGAAGAAAATCAATGAAATGTTTCTTAAATAATTCATACACAGGTTGAAAGCTACAAAATCAGGGATTATCTAGGCTATCCTAAAAGGACCTAGATGGTCACCAATTTTTTTTTATTTATTTTTGCAGGGTGCCTGATTGGTAACTATAAAATGGCCCAATCGTGCAGGGTAAGGTTATCAATAGAGTACCTATTCATTCGCAACTGGATATCAATAGGATTGACCTTATTGTTATCCAGTTTTTTTTTATTTATTTGTTAGATTAATCTATTGTTATCCATTTTTCTTATTTGGTAGCTTACCGATTGATGTCATTTTGGTTAATTGTATCAATATATATGTTGTAGGTGGAAATGGAATCCAGTGGATTCTGAATCCAAATAATGTGGATTTTGGATTTCATATCAACTTATGTGGAAGTAGAATATTCCATTTCCACATGATATTTGTTATCACACGATATTGTGCAATGTAGTACATTATTTTGTTTACATAACTGATAATATATATTGCATCATTGATTGTACTGTATTGAAAGTTTCACATAAAAACTTTTTCCTTGTCAAACCAAGAAGAATACAATTTTTTTCCTAAAAAACTTTTTAATGATTTGGCTAATAAATATCTTGAAAAAAAACTCCTAAAAGATGTTGTAAAACTTTTATTTCTTGTAGTGATTATGACCTTATTATCTCAGTACTTCACGAACATAATAATATAAAAATAGGAACTGCTAAAGATTGAAATTGGATAAAAGATACTTTTCATATTAGAGAGTTAGAAGCTGAAAGTAATCCTAATATACAAGTAGTAACAATTATAAAAGATAAAAATGAAGCAGAAATTATATGTACTGTTTGCCATTTTGACCGTCTTTATGATGTTTGTATAAAGTTAATGCAAGTGTTTTGAAACATGTAGGAGCAACAAAAATGTGGAACATGGTAGGTATTAATTATATAATATTACAAAATTTAAAATGTATTTATAAATAAATTATAAATAAATTCTTTTTATTTTTAAATTGGAAAACAATATGATTACATACCTCAATCATTTGTAAGAGAATTTTGTGGAGTATGCTTAACATGTGCTAAACATAGACAATTTCCCAATTCTCTTGCAACCAGACCTATTGTGACATCAAAATTCCTTTCTCGTGTCCAAGTTGATTTAATCAGCTTAACATTTCAACCTGTAGGAGAACAACTGCCATGTTCATGATCATTTTACTAGATTCTCTTGGGCAAGATGTCTGGTTAGTAAAAGAGCTTCAGAAGTGGCAGTATTTTTATATGATATCTTTACAGTATTTGGGCACCAATAATTCTGCAATTAGACAATGGTAAAGAGTTTACAGCTAAAATTATTAGGCCAGTTCATTTCTGATCATTCAGAATTTTGATCAGTTTTTAGTTGAATAATATTGGTTAATAAATTGGTATAACTCAATTAGTGACCTGGTTTTCCCAAACTAAAAAAAGGTGGAATTTTTTTGATCATATTTTAAAATAGGCAAAGCACAACAAAAACAAATGGGCTGATTGGTTATTTGAAATTTTTTTGCAACCAATGATCAGTGTACTCAATTTTGATTTTGATTATATGTTCAGATTGGCTAACAGATTTTGCAATCAAAAACCCGAACAATCAGAAATGAACTGGCCTATTGTTGAGTTATTAACCTTTTGGCCAGAAGTACATATCATAAATGGACGTCCAAGGCACCCTCAATCACAGGGTTTAGTCAAAATAGCTAATGGTATTCTGCAAACTAAGCTTGGAAAATAGATGGAAGATAATAATACAAATAATTGGATAGAAGGATTGCCTTTAATTATATATAAGATTTGTATATTATATGGTTAAAACTATATAAAATTAATTGATTTATTATTTTTAGATGCAATGAATGTTCAAACTGTTCGTGCAACTGGTAAATCTCCTTACTCATTTGTATTTGGAAAAGATCCCATGTGCCATTTTTCAATACTTGATGATTCACATAAACAAAATATTGCTGATGAAAAGGCATTACCAGATAACTTTTCTTAAGGATCTTATAGAGCCAGAAAATTATATGGATGAAAATAAGGAACAAGAAATTCAAATTAATTTGGTAGATATTTGTTATTTTTGTTTAATAATTTAATTTGGGTATTGCTAAATCTCACCAGTGGTGACTTTCACCGTTATTAATGTTGGCAGAAATTATGATTTAGCCAGAATTATAAAAAATTTTTTTGCAAATTTTTACCGAGAAAAAAAATTGAATGTAAGTAGTTTTTTTAAATATTGAACATGTTTTACTTAATAAAAAAACTTAATTTATTTGACCAAAGTAAGGAAATTACACTTTAAATTTAATAGACAGAAAAAAAAAATTTGAAAGTTAATACCATTATGAGAAATGCAATTTTTTCCAAAAGTATTANGGAAATTACACTTTAAATTTAATAGACAGAAAAAAAAAATTTGAAAGTTAATACCATTATGAGAAATGCAATTTTTTCCAAAAGTATTACATTTACACTCATGAAATTTGATACACAACTAGTTTTAATCTTGCTGAACAACGATTTCATTTGACTAAAGTGGTGAAATTACACTCTGAAGTTCACAAATAAAAAAAAAAATTCAAAAGTTAGTACCATTATGAAAAATGTAATTCTTTCCACAAGTATTATACTTACATCCATGAAATTTTATATACAACTAGTTTCAACCTCGCTGAACGACCTTCACTTAATAAAGAAAGATGATATCATTTGACTAAAGTGTTGAAATTACACTTTGAATTTGGTAAACAGAAAAACAAATATTTAAATGTGTTTTTTTTTTTCATAAATATTATATCTAACTTTATGAAATTGAAATATACTCCTATGGGTTTAATAGGACCCCAAAAAATACATATGGAAGTCATAAATGATCGGCAAGATTTTGGCCTAAAATAAGCAACTTTTCAGGGCCGGAATTATGATAATGCTAGCCAGTATCAAAATGGACAATAAAATTTAGGCCAGCACTATCTAAAAAAGGCAAGATTTTCATGAAAATTTAGGTTCTTTTTAAGCAAACTCAAATGTGACCTTTTTATGTATTTTTCGGGGTCCTGGTTTAATAGTGTAACAAAAGTAATATTTTTTGTATTAAAAACACATAAAATATTAAAAGAAAAGCAAAGCAAGCAAAGCAAAAACAAATTTCATAAATATGATAAATATATGTTATGTTGTGTAACATAAGTAATCACATGATTACATGACCGGTGAAAATCATCACCGGTGAAAATTTCACAATTCCATTTAATTTTGCTTTAATTTTAAAATTTATAATGTTTATTATATAGCAAGAGAGTTCAATACAAGAATGGGAAAATAATAATCATAATTATATATTGGATGATGATAGCCAATTAATATTATCAATGGCAAGTTAAAATATTTATTTATTTTATAATTTTATTTTAATTTATATTAATTTAATTTACTTTATATATAGGATACAATACTTACTAGTACAAGTACTATTGGTAAGGATGATTAAGAAAATTCCTATATTCGACAAAAGAAATATAGAAGACGAAAAAATCATAAAGTAAGATAAAAATAATATAATAAAAATTTGATTTCTATTCTAATCTTTATTGAAACTAAACAATATTAAATGGTTTCTATTTGTTTTATAGTCTAAATACACAATCACATCATCAACTTTTTTGTGATTATGCTAACAAGTCACTTGTTAATTATAGAAACCAAATGAAAGATCAAATGTTAAAGAATAATAAGCATCCACTTGAATATTCAATTAATGACTATGTGTGTCTTGCAATACCAAGAATTGACAGAAATAGTATTGATCGATGTAAAAAGTATTCAGATCAAACGTATAAATTACAATGCAAAAATGGTATACTTGATATTTCTTTTAGCGCAAATGAACTTATGCCACTAGGACCTAATGAATATAGAAAACTTGAAAATTGTCAAAGTGATATTATTAGTGTAAGAGAAGCTGCAAGAATGCAGTCTACATCAGCTATAACTAGGGTCCAAAGCAATTGTAAGGGAAAATGTAAAAAATGTTTGTAAATGTAAACGCTCTAACTTACCATCCCTATAAAAAGTATTTATATTTAAAATAAAATTAAAAACTTTTTAAAATATATTTAAATTATACTTAAAATATATTTAATTTAAAAATTGCGAAATACTTATAATATACTTAAAATGTATTTAAAATTATCTTAAAATATATTTCTAATATATTTAATTTTTGCCAAAATACTTAAAATATACTTAAATTATACTTAAATCAAAATTTAAGTACACAGTGAAATTCGATAAACTGGATCTTTGATAAACCGGATTTGGCCCTAAACCGGACTTTTTTGCTGGAACCAAATCATGTATATTAAAATAGTTTTGATATACCGGAGTTTACTAGTAAAAGCTCGATATTCGATATAACGGATCAATTTTCTAACCAGCTATAGTAAAAATGATTCGATAAACCTAGGCACGTGATCATTAACCAATAAAATTTAAGTAACGTGATGCGGTAAATCTTAATTCTGGCTGAAGTTATGTATTACTTATATATTCAATTAAAAATATTTTATATTCATTTTCAACTTAAAACTAAGATGAAAAATTAAAATATAGTGCANCTTATAATATACTTAAAATGTATTTAAAATTATCTTAAAATATATTTCTAATATATTTAATTTTTGCCAAAATACTTAAAATATACTTAAATTATACTTAAATCAAAATTTAAGTATATTATAGATATATTTTTTACATACTTAAAATATACTTATAATATATTTTATAATATATTTTAAGTATATTTTAAATACATAAAAAATATACTTATAATAGTCTTATAATTTACTTAAATTTTAATTTAAATATAATTTAAATATATTTTAAGTATATGGGCAAAAATTAAATATATTAGACATATGTTTTAAGATAATTTTAATTATATTTTAGATATATTAAAAATATATTTTAAGTATTTTGCAATTTTTAAATTAAGTATATTTCAAATATATTTTAAATATATTTTAAGTATAATACTTTTTATAGGGCATGTGGAAGTAGTTGTCATCCACATAGTAATAAATGTTTAAATAGAGAATAGTCAAGATAATAAATTTTAATAAAATGTAAGATTTCGTATTCTATAATTAAGGCCATACAAACTTGATTTTATGGTTTTCATAATATAAAAATTTCATCAATAACCCGGCAACCCGGCTTTTAATTTTTTTTTTCAAAAATTTTATATGTGAAATTTTTTTTCAATTTTTAAAAAATTCTCACCCGGCATAGTAACAATATAAAAATTTTTTTTTAAGACCTAACAAAAACTGACCCGGCCGGACTATGAAAACCATTTTTACCACTTTGTGTCGCCTAAATAACTATTCCTAAAAAATTCTATTATTACATATAAGTGATTTATGTGAAAACGGAATATTCTATTTCCACATAAGTTAATATGAGATCTGAAATTCACATTATGTGGATTCAGAATCCACTGGATTCCATTTCCACCTACAATATATATGATCTTTTTAATACATATTCTTCATTTTAAGTATTTTATCTAGATTTTCAAGTTCAAATATATACCAAAATTATTTTCTGATTACTGTTAATAAGTCCTAAAATAATATTATTATCTTCTTTACTTGAATAAAATACAATACTTAAATGGAAATAAGTTTTTCTACAATTGCTTGAAATACAGGTTATTTGCTAATGATAAAAACATTTGTAATCTTAAAAGAAGAGAAGCCTTTAGAATTTTAATAAAAAGAATAATATTTATTAACTGCAATAAGATTTTCATATACTAAGGCAACAAGAAGTGCATCATCAACAGCTTGTCTATATACTAAGTTATTCTTATTTTGTATTTGGCTTTGTTACTTCTAGTATTCTAGTGGGTAAGGCTGTTCCAGTTTGATTATTTATTTAATGTCCCCCACCCCTCTCTATTTTTTAAAAAATTTGAGATCTAATAAACACATATTATCTGTTATTAAATACCCCCTCTATTTTTGAAAAAATTTAAAAGCTAATAAACATATAGTGATAAATATTCCCTTTAAATTTTGCCTGAAATTTTCAAATTTTCCTATGTTTATTTATTTAGTTTGTTTAACTTAAGCCTCCCTCCTCCCTTAATTTTATAAAAAGGTCTGGACATTAAACAAACAATTAAATTGGAACAGCCTAATTATTAAATATTATTTAACAATATATAATATATATATATATAAATACAAAAAGAAATATTATAACTTACCATTAGGTAAATTTTGGCATTATCATCTCATTACTCTTTAGTTCTCCTTTTTGTTTAATTTGAAGTAATTTTTTCAGTATTAGTTCTCCTTTTTGTTTAACTTGAAGAGTAATTTTTTTAGTATTCTTGTTATTTAAATCTGATTGGAAACTTAACTTAAGAGTTACCCTAACTTTGCAAAATAAAAAATGACATGCCTATTTTTTATTACAGAGATTATGCCTTAGAAAGTGATAAAACTAAACAGTATTAATATTATCACATGTAATATTGTTCTTCACTTGCCTATTATAAAAAGAAATTATTAGTAGTGCATCAATTTTATTTAGTGATAAAAGAAGGTATGTAGCCAATTTCTCCTCCAGAATTAGCAGACTTGTATAAAATTAGGGTGCCCAAAATGAGATCAATGGATTGGTTACCAAAGTAATTCTTCTAAACCAAAATGCATTGAACTTAGGAGTTACCTAACTTTGCAAAATAAATATAACGTACCTTATTTTTTATTACAACATAAATTTCCTGATTAAACAGAGATTTTGTCTTAGAAAGTGATAAAGCCAAACAGTATCAAGATTATTACATGATATTGTTTTCATTTACCTAATTGATACCATATACAGATCACGCTATATAGTTAACAATATCAGGTGTTCTTTATTTTAATAGTGATAGTCCTTATAATTGGTTGTTATGCTAATCGTGCTATCCTGGAAAGGAAGGAAAATTTTACTAATTTGGTTAGCTAAGTATAGGGTACGTTTTTATATTATTGATATTGATATTGATATTGATATTAATATTTGTATTGATATTGTATTGATATTGATATTGATATTGAATTGATATTGATATTGATATTGAGTTAATATTGAGTTCAATATTACGAACAATGGTCGTTTATATAAAAAAAAAATTGATCATAATTTGCAGCATGATCTGAATTGGTTGATCAAAAATCATGAGCTAACCATATATTGACATCAAGGAATTATGAATTGTCAATTGGCTGGCCAAAAATCTGGAAGCTACCCTATAAAAAAAGAAAATTCGGAATTTGTCCTGAAAAGTATGGAAAATGTCTGGAAATTTTCCATGCGTCTGGAAAACATTCGGAAATGGTCATGTTTTGAAACACTTTCCGGACGCACAAATTCCAGACATTTTCTTGACACTCCAGAATTTGTCCAGAATCGAGCATCCAGAAAATGTTCCAAAACATGACCGTTTCCGAATGTTTTCTGGATGCATGGAAAATTTCTGGACATTTTCCATACTTTTCAGGACAAATTCTGAATTTTCTTTTTTTATAGGGCTAACTACATATTAACATCAAGGAAATATTTATTATTCGTATACATTGTTTAGGAGGCTAATTTTTGTAATTAATTATAATAGGAATTGAAGGAAATTAAATATACAAAGTGAATAACATTCTTAAATAAATGAACCTGATCAAATATAAAAAAAAAATATGTCTGAATTTTATTAAAATATACATATATCCAAATGTATAAGACTAATTTTAACCTGAGGTGATTTAACCTGGGTGATTTAACCTAGTAGGCTAGTACTAGTAAATTTTATATAATTATATGAATTATTCACCCCTATTATGTGATAAATTTGATTCGGCTGACTAATATTTATAGTTACACTATATGTTTATTTTATTTTTTTTGTTTTTTCTTTCCCCCTTGTTTTTTTTCTGTTCTCTCTGTTTCGTTTTATTTTCCTTTCTTTTCCCATTCCATTTCCTTTTTTTGTTTATTATTTTTATCTGCTTTCTTTTTTTTTCTTTAGTACATTTTTTTAGGCTCTTTCAGGTTTTACAATTTCTATATCTTAATGTGTTAAAAAGATACATTCTCTTTTTTTATTGGTTTTGTTTTTTAATTTTGTTCCTTACTAACTATATTTTCTTTTCTTTATGCCATTCTTTAAATCCTTTCTCTTCAACATTATATGACGCATTTTGCTCTTAACTTGCTTTTATTTGGTCATTAACTTTTTTTGGGTTCACTCTTAAACTTAATTATGGGGATTTTTTCTTTTTTCTTTGTGGTGGTATCTTTTTTTATTCTTTAATATTTAGGTTCTTGCTTATTTTCTAATTTTTATTCTTTACTAACTATCTTTTCTTTACTCTATACTGCTCTTTGACTTAATATGTTTTACTTTTCTGTCACAAATTTTACTTTTTGATTTCATAGGTTTCATCATCATTTCATTCTTTAACTTTTTACATGAGTTTTATTCTTCATTCTTATAGCTTTATTCTTTTGTTTGCTTTGTTATTGTCATATATTTTTTCATGTATATGTACCATAATTACTAGTCCTGTTAAAAACAAATAAAGTATGAATTTTTTCTTATTAATAAACTTTGATTAAATGTTTTTAAACAAAAAAATTTTGAAAATAACTGAAAAGTGTTGCAAATTTTCAGTAACGTAAATAAATTAAATTAACCAATTAAAATTGATTGGTATAAAATATAAATTTTTAGGGGGGGTGATTTAACCTGGCTTATTTAACCTGGAGGGCAAGTTGGCAAAACTCTATCCAAATTATATAAAAAATATATATATCCAAAAATATATATATATCGGAATTTTATTTTATTAAAAAATATATATCTGAATTTTATTAAAAATAATATATATACCCAAATTTATTAAAAAAAATATATATATCCAAATTTATTAAATTTATTTATTAAAAAACATTATACGAGTTTATTTATTAAAAAATTATATAAAAAATAT